GATACATCCACTCAATTTCCGGTTCCAGCAGTTGCTGGTCACATTTTCTGTGTTTTTCCATTTTTTTGCTCTCTTAACACCAATTTTTTATTGCCCAAATCGATAGAGTAATCAGTTTCGAATAAAAAACGCATAACCTTTAATACCCCTAAAATGGACCGTTTCAAAGATATTTTAATTTAAACTGAAGACTGCACAACGCTGAAACCAAAAAGTAGGGATTTTGAATGGATGATATCCACGGTAACAAATGACCATAGTCTCACTAATCGCTGTCAGGCATCTGTCAACTTTGACATTGGACGATTATTAGACAATTAATCGAAAATATTTAATAAAAGAGTTTACCTCAGATTCCAAACATAACTTACAATAAATCCAAATGGATCTCGTAGCATTTCATTCATAAAAAATTCACAAAAATTTATCGTCAAAGTGAACAGATGCCTGGCAGGGATTTATGTGACCATGATCATTGGTTGCCGTGGATACCACTTACTCAAAATCCCTATTTTTTGATTTCAGCGTTGTGCAGTCCTCAGTTTAAATTAAAATATCTTTGAAACGGTCCATTTTAGAGGTATTAAAGGTTATGCGTTTTTTAATCGAAACTGATTACTCTATCGATTTGGGCAATAAAAAATTGGTGTTAAGAGAGTAAAAAAATGGAAAAACACAGAAAATGTGACCTGCAACTTCTGGAACCGGAAATTGAATGGATGTATCCGGTTTTCGTGATTACGAGTTCAAAGGTTATGTTGTCACAGGGAAATGTTCCAAATTTTATAATATTTGGTCAAATAGTTCCAAAGTTATTACAAAAAAATCAAATTTCCATACCCACATTCCGAGGGCTGTAAAATTCTTATCAGAGATAGGACACGAGTTATTATTATCATTTTATAGGTCATTTTTAAGGTTCAAATATTGCTTCATATTTACGAATAACCCTGTATAACGCGGTGACAGTTTAAGTTTATTAATCTAGTAGTTGAAGTATTAGTTGCACAATTTCACTAATAAAAATCAACACGGAATTGCAAAAGGAGTGTGTATGAGATGTTCAATTAGAATGTATTGCACGGTAACCACATTTACTGATGCATTGATTTAACCTCGTTTATTTTGATAAGAAAACACCCCTGAATTTTGCAAAAATCGCCTCAAGTGTGAAAATCTGTATAAGAAGCATCTGGAGCGCAATTATTAAAGTAAAATCGTTTTCCTAAGACCTACTAAAATTAAATGCGGTATTGTTAAGAGTAAACCAGAGGGTAAACAAATCATAAATTACTGGAACCCACCCTGAAACAGATCAGTTTTTAACAGGGCCGGATTATTTACTTTCCTTTTGTCTAAAACACTTGAAATGTTTTAATAGTTTTTGATGTAGTTGTTATTAAAGTCAAGTATTTTAAGAAATTTAAAAAAGCCAGCTGGTTATTAACAAGCTATTATTAAATAAAAGTGATTTTTTTAAATAATAGCTTGGTAAAACTCTACCACTACTTTAGTTTTAGATACGGCCCTGTTTTATTCTAGTGGGTGCAGAAACACTTGCAAAGGAACGTGCCATTTATGGGGGGTTATAAATTTAAGTCATTGTTTGGTTAATCCCTTATAATGTGTCATAAAATTTGTAGTAGGTCTCAGGAAAACGATTTTACTATACTAATTTAATCTTTTAAAAGTTGTGCAAGTTGAGATGTGCTGAATTTATCCAATTATAACTGATTTGAAGGTATACAAAAATAATTAGACAATCGTTTGATTTTTTTGAAATTAACATCGCACGAGATTTGTAGAATGGGAAAAAAATTTGTAACCCAATCACAGTCGTAAAATAGGCAAGATGAAAGTATGGGTTGATGGTATTGTTGATCAATAGTAAATAATTACACGTGGTGTGTGTCGGAAGTGAGGCGTGTAAATGGAAGGATTTTTGCAATTTTAATGAACGGTTATGTTTTGCTCTGGCGAGCAACAATAAGTGTGGTTTCACTTAATAAGTGATAAAAGCTCATTAATTGATTGAAATTTATATACTGGCGACAATAAAGTATTGTTGAGATTTTTTACTCTTTAAATAATACAAATATAGTAAAAGTTTGTTATAAAACTAAACTTAAACTTATTAAATAAAAAATAAATAAAGCAACAAGGACTGGATGAATTGCATGAGTTGTACTTAATTTACTTACCTGTTATCTATTTATTATCTAATCATCTTGTTATCTTTTGACGACCAAATAACACAAATAGAAATCGATAAACAACTAACATTCATAAAAACACAACACTAAATTCATAATAATTTTACAAGTATGGAAACAATGCTGTTGAAATTGGGAATAAACACTTAGGATAATTAATAATAATTATTTTTTAATACAAATATTTCTAGTATTATTGCCTGCTTTTTTAATTTTTTAGTACTCATTAAAGTTGACTTTCTTAAATTTTTTTCAACAAAATAATTGAAGACGATTCAATAATAAATCAAAACGTCGGCAAAGCTTTTCGCTTAAATAGTAACTTCCCAGAATTTTAATTTAGGTAAAGAAATTACCATTTATTTAAAAAAATGCATATACTTGCTCTACAAATTTTAACAATCAGTAGTAAAAATTTTAAAAAAATACAACGAAAAAATGTAATTTAATGCTTAGTAAAATAGTTAATTCATAAACTGTCAAAAAAGTAAAATAAAGTATTTAAAAAAATAACCAGGATGAATCCTCTCTCATTTTCGTATGTTGGTGACATTTACGAATCCATATGTGATACTTAATCGTTAAACGAAGAGCATATTATGTATTGATGAGGCTTTTTATTCGTTAAATAATACTGACAGTAAAAGTTTATTGTTAGAAAACTCTTAAAACATAGTTTAAATCATGAGTTGTTTAAATAAAAAACAGAAAGCAAACAAACGACCTTGAGAATTGCAGGAATTGACCACTGCAGTTGTGCGCATCTTCTAGACAATTAAAATCATATCCAACTTCATTCCTTAATTCGGGATTCAAAATTGGCCGATGTTAGTGGTTGTTTTCGGGGCTGTAACCCACTTTCGTGGTTTGTTTCCCGTAAAACCGTCCTATTGAGAGAACCATCATGGGTCGATTCTTCAACCACGAGGACGAGTCGTCATCTCCCAGCACGACCTCGGTTGTAAAGGACTGCTTTCGTCAAACATGTAACATAGAAGAGTACCAGGATTTGGACATTCTCTGCAGGATTAACAGATAAGCGCTCTGTTTCAACTTCTAAAATTCTCGTTGCAACAATAGTTAGGTTTTTACCAATCGTAATTATTCCTATTATCTCATCGTGATTAGTAGAAAATAGAGAAAAGTTTAGTTTCATAATCCATTTTTGGACTGAGGATTTTTTACTTAACAAATCCTTCAAATCTTTAAATTTAAATGTCAATTATTTTTTGACTAGGTACTATAGATATAGGTCTGTTCAAGCCACACTGTTTTTTAAGGATTTTGGACTGTTTTAGTTTCTTGTAAAAACTAGTTCCAGTGGATGCTCGTCTTATTTATTTATATTCAGGTTTGATGGTCTTAACAAATAAATTATCATTATGGGCTTCATCGGAATTATCCGATGGCACTTATTCGGATGGTGTCATTGCAAACGAATTAAAACATTAATAAGTTAATTAAATTTTAATAATGCTAATTATAAGATTGAAGTTTTCTTCTGGCGTCATATATTCTTTTTATAATTGATAAAGTGTAGGTATAAAATATTGATGTCTTGAGAAGGCGAAGGTGTGCTAACTATTTCTTTATGAATCAGTTTCACTGGTCTTTCTGACAAATCTTCCGCGGGTTTTCTTTTTACAGAATTGCAAATTATATTATATCTATTATATTTCCTTGGTGATTTTTAGAAAGTTCGAGATGTTGTTAATTCTGCAGTTTTTATTACAATTTGCTCGTAAATGTTTGGCACATTTTCACAGCACAACACTATCTGCGATCTTCTTTAATAACACTTTTTTTTTTAATATGTAAAAAAAGGGTACCGGTGAACTGCGCTCACTTCAAGCGGGGCTTTTTAATCCCTACGGTGGACTGCGCTCAGAAAATTTTTACTTACCTGCGATGCGTTAATCTCTATGTGAACTGCGCTCAGGTCGGTCGATATATCTCAGCGTGATGTAAAGAATTAAATTATTAAAAATTAAATTCCCAGGCTAAAGGAAATAGGGATGAACCAGTTGCAAAAATGTACTTTGCATTTAGAAATAAACAAAAACGAAATAGGTTATTATTTACATTTACTGAACACAAATACATTTGTGTGTACATTACAGTGTTTTAAAAAATTTAGTCAAACTTATAAGATAGACATTTCCCAAAAGTGGATCGATCTATTTGCTTCTCTTTCATTATTTTTTTTAAATTAAAACATACCTTTTAATACAGGGTGATTCAGTACTCATTAAAAAGTGCACCCAAAGAAGTGCTCCCTAAAAGTTTGAAGCACCAACCCATGGGTGTGTACCCTGTTGTGATGCTACTGAGCGCAGTTCACCTTAAGGATTAGCGACCCTTATTAGCCTCATTATAACTGTTTCTAAAACTGAGTGCAATTCACCCTGCCCCAAAAAAAATTAGAAGGACCAATTCCTTTTCACGTTTACTCAAAATTGTTTCCGTTTTAATGACCTAAAAAGATTCTTGATTTGCAGACTTATCTATTTTAACATTTATTGTAGATGGTAGTTGTCTGATGATTAACATTATTGTTAGTGCCGCAATAACTCCCGTAGTGTTTATTAGATAAGACTTATCGGTGTTTCGGTCGCAATCTTATACTTTTTCAAGTATAATTTTGTGTCCGCGGCAATCCGGTCATTTTCAGAGCCGATATAGCCGCAATCCGGACACATCGAATGCCGAAAGTATGAGACAAAATCTTCTTATTTTCTTTATTCAGTGCGTTCAAAAAAAAACTGATTACATTTATTAAATCACAGAACAATTGATCAATTTATGTTTATGTAATGTTACATTTTTGCTACTTTTGTAATCGTAATTTACGTTGCAAGTCCCAGTGATGGCCAAAGTATTGCATAAAATGTCGCCAAAAACCAGTGTCACTAAATTGCATGCTCATTGTGACACCAAAATAGAAAAAATCTTTTTACTTTCTCTAAATTTGTGCAAAGAAATTATACCTACGTTTTATACGAAATAAGTATAAAAAGAACTTTTTAGACATAATAGTGTATATAAAATTTGTATTATCTCAAAAATTCCTGAAACGCCATTTTAGCTGTCTTTAGCCTTACTAAATTTTCAAATTGGAAAATAAAATCGTCCTGCCCGGCCTCTTCTTTGAACCGGACGCGAATGTTTAAATTTTGTTCTTCATGGTTAAAACAGTTAATGGTTTCGCGATTTATTTTTATTTGAAGAGAACTTAATAAGTTCTGCCGCCCCGCTTGTTGCAGTTTGGGATGCACTATCATTTTATTTTGATCAAAAGTTAATAACGAATTAACGTTATTAAACATACACGGAAAAATCAGCTTCAGCCTTTTTGAATTTTCTTTTCATGTCCTGCTGCTACTGCCGCCAATCTTCCAAAAGTTTTTTGTCTGAAACAAAAATAATCAGTTCTTGACCACTTTTTTGGATATAAGTACAGTCGAACAAAATGAAAAAGACGCCTCAATAAACCAGTCCCTTCTAATCGCAAGCAGGCAGGGTCGTAAATTTACAGAAAGCGAAATGAAAATTTAATTCAGAATTAAACTAATTCGAATTAAGTTGCCATTTATTTTGCATTGACACACGTCAAATTAATTAAATGGAAATATTAAATTTTTTTAATGAAAAATTTAACAAACTATTTCTTAAAGAAAATTATGTATTAATAATGACATTGATAAAAAAACAAATCATTATCACTTAATTTTTTTTAACTGTTTTTTCAAAATAAAATTAATTAACATAATGTTTGAACGAAATAGGCTTTTTCTATTTTAAACTTGATTTTATGTAAAACAACAAATGAATTGAACCATTGTTTATTTGTGAAAAGAAGGTTTAATTCCACGTGTGCCTTTACCGCGAGTGGTTTAATTCTTTGAGCGTAAAGCGAAATTAAAATTTACTTCAGAATTAAACTAATTCGAATTAAGTTGCCATGTATTTTGCATTAACAAACGTCAAGTTAATCACCAATTAAAATATAATTGCGATTAACACGTTCTGTAAACCGGCTCTAAGTTTTCTATTAGTTTTGTAATTGTCAATGAAAACAAATCAAAATTATTTATTTAATTATATCAAGAAAAAAACGGTAAAATTATTTCAAATATTTTAGTTCTGTTACAAAATTTATTTTTTGATAATTGTAATACTTTTAAATTAAATAAAAATGTTTAGTTTTATAAATA